AATGATATCATCAACATAAATTTAAATAATAAGAAAATTATTTTTAAAATTTTTAATAAATAATATGGTATCAACCTTGTCTTTAGAAAAATTATTTTGTATAAGAAAGGAGCTAAGTCTCTCGTACCAAACCCTTGGGGCTTGTTTCAATCCATAGAGAGCTTTAGTCAATTTAAACATATGATTAGGAAAATTATCATTCTCAAATCCGAGAGGTTGTTCAACATAAACTTCTTCGAAAATAAAGCCATTAAGAAAAGCATTTTTAATATCTATTTAAAATAACTTAAAATTATTACTACTAACATAGGCAAGGAGCATCCTTATGACTTCTAATTGTGCCATAGGAGTGAAGGTTTCTTCATAATCGATATCTTCTTCTTGGTTGAAACCCTTGGCCACTAATCTAGCCTTATTTCTAACCACGATACCAAATTCATCTTGCTTGTTTCTAAAGACCCATTTAGTACTAATAACTAAATGGTCATTTGGCCTTAGAACAAGCTTTCATACCTCATTTCTCTCAAATTGATTCAACTCTTCTTGTATTGTGATAACCCATGAATCATCTTTCAAGGCTTCGTCAATGCATTTAGGTTCAATTTGGGAGAGAAAAGCGACATTGGAACAAAAATTCTTAAGAGAAGAATGAGTTTGAACCCCTTTTGTTGTGTCTCCTATGATTAGCTCCTCAGGATGAGCATCTACATACTTCTATTCCTTGGGTAAGAATGTTTCGGAAGAAGATGCATCCAAGTTGCTAGATGGAGAAAGGGTTTCATTTAAATTCAAAGCATCAAAATTAACATCATCATCAAGATCATTTTTCTTAACTTCGAAAACTTCATTAAAAACAACATAAATGGACTCTTCTATAACCAATGTTCTTTTGTTAAAAATATGAAAGGCCATAGAAATAAAAGAATAGCCAAGTAATATTCCTTCATCGGATTTTACATCAAACTTTCCTAAGGCATCTTTTTCATTCAAGATAAAATATTTACAATTAAAAACTTTAAAATATGAAGCGTTGGGTTTTCTATTGTTCCACAACTCATAAGGAGTTTTGGAAAGTAATGGTCTTACTAGAACCCTATTCATGATATAGCATGTCGTATTTACGATTTGGCCCAAAAATATTTGGATAAGCTATGTTCGTTTAACATGGTTCTTATCATTTCTTGTAAGTTTATATTTTTTCTTTCTACTATCCCATTTTGTTGAGGATTTCTCGGAGTAGAGAAATTGTAGTTGTATCCATTATATTCATAAAAGTCTTGGAAATCATGGTTTTGAAATTCACCACCATGATCGCTTCAAATTGATGAAATCATAAAACCCTTTTCATTTTGAACAAGTTTACAAAACTTAGAGAAATACCTAAAGCAATCACTTTTGTGTGTCAAAAAGTAAGTCTATGTGTATCTACTATAATCATCCACGATAACAAAGGCATATTTGCTACCCCCTAGGCTTGATGTAGCAATTGGTCCGAACAAGTCCATATTGATCAATTGCAATGGTCTAGAGGTGCTTATTTGATTCTTTGGTTTGAAACTACCTTTTATTTGTTTTCCTAGTTGATATGTATCACACACATTATCTTTAATGAACTTAATGTGAGGAATTCCTCTTACAAATTCTTTAGATGAGATTTGAGAGACTAGTTTAATGCTAGTATGACCTAATCTCCTATGTCAAAGCCAAGCATCATCATTTAAAACCGAAAGACACATTTCATTATAAAGATCATCAATGTTGATAGTGTATATATTATTTTGTTTTAGGGCAATCATAGATGTATTTTTGTGTGATTTTTCTATAATACAAGCATTCGATTCAAATCTAACAATATATCTTTTATCACACAATTGACTAATACTCAAAAGGTTATATTTTAAGCCATCAACCAACAACACATCTTCAATAAAAATGTTGGATTTGTTATCTATGGTTCCTTTGTCAATGATTTTACCCTTATTGTTATCTCCGAAGGTGACATATCCTTCGTCTAAGTTAGTGAGCTTAGAGAATTGAGATGGATCTTCGGTCATATGCCTTGAGCATCCACTATCAAGGTACCATATTTTGCTCCTAGCTTGTAATGATACATTTTTCTACAAAAAAAAAGATGATTTTTAGGTACCCATTTGACCTTAGGTGCCTTAAAAATCGATCTACATAGCTTATCATGTTGCATTGAGTCATTTGAGGTTCTTTTAGGAACTCAAATCAATTTATGTGGACTGTATCTCTTAAGTGGATATTTATAGGCAACATGTCCGAGTTTGCAACAAAAGTTACAATTTGTGTGAGGTGATACATGCAAGGTAGGGCCTTTAACAAGGTGGTCAGATTTTGGTGAGAGCTAGTCACAAATCCGATTCCGCCTCTCCTATGAACGTAACCCTTAATGGCAAGGATTATGTTCAAAGACTTGCTACCAACCTCAATTTTTTCTAAGATTTTCTTAAGTGACAAGTTTTCCTTTTGAAGCATTTCTAGTTCATCACATTTCATACATGGAGCTAAACTATCATTGTGCTCAACTTTTAATCTATCGAAATCACTAACAAGAGAAACATGCTCTTTTTTTTAACAATTTATATTTTTTACTAATTAATTTATATTCATCAAATAAATCATGAAAATCATTTAATAATTTATCAAAGGATAAATTTGCATCAAATGAACTACTCACCTCATCTCCAATAACCATTAGCGCATAGTAACTTGCTCGGTGTTGGTTGACTCTTCTTCAGATGCACATCCCAAGTTGCTTGGGGACATTCACTCTTGAAGTGTCTCGGCTTTTTGCATTCATAGCATATCACTTATTCTTTCTTGGATTCAATTTTATTTTTAGTATTATTTTTAAATTTATTTTTTTTTATGAATTTTTTGAACTTTCTTATAAAGAGTGTCAAGTCTTCATCAAAGTCCTTATCACTTGAATTTTCTTTCAAGTGCTCTTCTTGAGTTTTTAGTGTCATATCCTTCCTGTTCTTTAGAAGGTTATTTTCAAGCTCTTCATGAGCATTACAAGTCATCTCGTAGGTCATTAGTGACCCGATTAATTCTTTAAGAGGAAAGTTATGTAAATTTTTGGCCTCTTGAATGACCGTGACTTTAGGGTCCCAACTCTTTGGAAGGGATCTTAAAATTTTATTAACAAATTCAAAATCTAAGAAAACTTTACCAAGTCCTTTTAGACCATTGACGACATTTGTAAATCGGGTGTACATGTCTCCAATGGTCTCACTCTGTTTCATCCGAAACAACTCATAAGTGTGCACTAAAAGATTAATTTTCGACTCCTTCACTCTACTAGTGCTTTCATGAGTCACTTCGAGTGTGTGCCAAATATCAAAAGTTGTTTCACAAATAAATACACGATTGAACTCGTTTTTATCTAAAGCACAAAACAAGGCATTCATAGCCTTGGCGTTTAAAGCGAAAGTCTTCTTGTCCAACTTATTCCAATTGTTCATCGGAAGAGAAGAGTTTTGAAATCCATTTTCTATAATATTCCATAATTCGAAATCCATTGAAATTAAGAAGATCCCCATTCTAGTCTTCCAATATTTGTAATCCGCCCCATTGAACATGGGCGGACGTGTAATTGAATGACCCTCTTGGTTCCCGACAAATGTCATCTCTCTTGAGTTTTAAATCAAATGAGAATGAATCTTGCTCTGATACCAATTGTTAGGATCAAGAGCGGCACTAAGAGGGGGGATGAATTAGTACAACGAAAAATTCTCCGATTTCGTATAAAGTTCGTCTCGATTCAAATCGTTTCGGAAAGATGTTGAACTTAAAACTTTCGTAAGAATGTAAGGAGAAGCTCAAGGAGATTTGCTGTAAAGTAAATTACACAAAAGGAAAAGCAAACCAAAATTTAGAACGGTTCGGTCAATGAGACCTACATCCACTTCGGATTCCTCCTCCGTCGAGGTCACCGGCGTCCATTAAAGGCCTTCCTTCAATAGGCGAAGACCAACCACCTTTTACAGCTCCTCCTTTTAACAAGTTTAGGAGACAACCCTTACAAGTCTCACTCCTCTTTCTTGGATGGTTACAAGGCCAAGAGAGGGAGGAGGAGAACTCTTCTCACTTTTACAACACTTTTCACACCTCAAACACTTAGAATTTTTCATACATATAATAGCACTTTGTTACCCTTTAATGCAGAAAAGGGTAGAGTATTTATAGGCCCCAATGGCTTCAAAAATGGAGTCAAAAAGTGTCTCATCTCAGATTTTCAGGGTATTGACGGTACCACCGCCATTACTGGGCAGTACTACCGCCTGCAGTCTGACACTGGACGGAACCACCACTGGCAACATTAACTGCCAGCGGTACCACCACCTAACTACAATAACTAAGGCATAATCAAAACACTCTTGTTCTGATACGTCAATTGCTCTTCCGACGAGCTTTCAACGAACTCTCGGCAATGTTTTGACGAACTCCCGACAAGCTCTCGGACTTTACGAGATCTTCTTGACGAGTTCTGACGAGCTTTTTTAGCAAACTCCTGGACTTCTCGGTTGGTTCCGGTAAAACTTCCGACGAACATCCGAACTTCCGACGAATTCTTAAACTTCCAATGAGATCTCAATCTTAACTCCGACACAACACCTACTTTACGTCTTATTGCTATTGTTAATCCTATACATTTTTCTTAACATATAGATTAGATCAAATAATTAATAATTGATTTAATTATCACAATTTAGGATCATGCTCAGCCCAACAGGATAGATATCTCATGAGATGATTATGTTTCTACGTGATAGAGAAGCAATCCACTTATTATAAATAAGAAATTACTCCATGTCAGCTAAATCACATATATTTCACTCTAAATCTACATATTTACCGACTCCTACTTGCAGAAGGGCTACCGCACAAGCCAATTATTGTTCGGATACCACTGAGATCCAAGTCTTTTTTTTATTTAATTAAAGAGACCAGAAATTAAATCACCAGAAAGGTTTTAAAAAACAAATAATAAAATAAAATAAGTCTTGACAAAATAGAGGTTCCCAACTTCCTTGTAATGTAGCCAAGATCTCAGCAGTGTCCAACACCATATATTCTGCATATACAATTGATTGTACGTCCTCCTAATTTATAGAGACAAGCTTACCAAAACAAATAAACTGAACAACAACAACAACAACAACAACAAAATTTGTTCAACTCTAATTAGTTGTAGGTTCGGGCTCACCCATGGCAGGCCAAAGAAAAGGAGAAAGATCCACTAGTTACTCTGCCAAATTGATCTCATCTTCCCACACCAAAGAAATAACTAAGACACATAATTTTGCTCGTCTGTTCTAATCTGATGATTGCTCTTGCTGTGGGAAATCCATCCTGAATCTCACATTGCTTTCATTAGATGAAAAAATAAAAAGGAATGCATCCAAAGAAAGTGTTTGCAATTTGCATAAAGCAGGGTGTAAATGATGGCAGATATTCTGCACGGTTTACTGCAATGCATCCATGGTCAGAGTCCAGTTTGATGATCAAAATAATGGCTACTCAGGAGTGAAAGAAACAAATGGAGCCACCATCTTCCTCGGATGTTAATGAATACAGTTAAGAAACCAGCATCATCTCGTTCAACATCTTGAGATCCTTTCCCAGAGACTGCAGTGCATATTCAGTACCAGAGGTTCTGAGCTGTGGTACTTTAAGCAAGTTATGAGATAATACACAACCACTACCCAGTTTTGACTTCTCCGTTAATCATTCCTTCTGACGGAACCACACCAGTAACTGCTTTGTCAATGCTCTTTTTTTGTTTGTTGACAAACTGACCATCTCTAACAGGGCGAGCTAATTTCTTTATAGCGTTTTCCTTTTCATCTTTTCTCAACGGCTTCTTCGCTGCAATTTTAACAAGATCATCTTGGGGAGGTATATTCTCTTTTATGGAATTACTTGTTTTTGGTTTTCCACTAGTGTCCAGGTCTCCATCAGGAAGCAGGGCTCGACGGCTTAATCGAAGTTGACCCTTTTCATTTATCTGGAATACAAGATATCATATAATAAATACAGAAAAGCAAATATTGAACAATTATTAATTAAGAAAAGAAATTTAAAAGACTAAACAGCCACTGGTTGACAATCTTTAACCTGTGGCAACACTAACTACCATGGTAAATTTTGTTGGACATGAGTAAACTACTCCAAGTAAGAGTGTGATCTGAGACATTTGTTTCACTGAAGTGAATAGTATGTTAGTAATGTGTGAGTTTGAGTTATGCGAATAACTACCATCATGGGACTATTATCTTAAATGGATTTCTCTCAAATTGCTTAAGACTCCAATCTAGTATAAGTCAATCCTATCCAATATGCCAATTTAAAATACCACGACTTCGAGTTCTGTTTATCACTAAAGACCTCTCTTTTAGTCAAGTTCCTTGTATTTTCAATAATCAACTATATTGTACCTTTTTGTTACTACTGCAATTTTTTTACTTTTTTTTTTCTTACTTCTGCAATATCAAGATTTAATATTTGAGAATCAAGATATTTTATCACGTATTTGAATAAAGGAGTGATTTGGGGATTTAAAGATTCTTCATGAACTTGTCATGTTTGGTATTGTATTATATCATTTAAGTTAGTATCACCAATCAGCATGTCCCACATCGGTACGGTGAACAGGAACACAGGAAGGGAAGGCCAAATCTACATTAGGAGTGTCCATATCTTGAAAGGAACCTAATCTACAAGACATGGTCATGGTTTTTTCTTACATGGATCTTTGGCCATAATTGACTTTTGTAAAAAAACTTAGGTTAAAAAGTATTTAAATCTTTATTTATTATTTTTTAAAGATTTTTTTAGGACTTCCTCTACCACTGAATAATTTCACTAGGAAATCTTCTAACTGCTGCATCTACAAAAAAAATTTCTGCACCAAAACCCTGCCTCCTCCCTCAAAGACATCCGAAGCCATCTGCTTGTTGAACCAAGATGAAGGAATAGGAGAAGGTGACACTAGAGAACAGAAGCCATTAAACACCACATCTTGAGTCTTGAATGCAATAGCACATCCTTTGCCCCTCTCCTACCTCCTCAATTAAAGACAACTCACCCCAATAGAGGTGATGCCAGAAAACGGAACTGAACAGGAATGTCTTAACTTTTGCAAAATCAAAACTTCTTTTTATTTATTTTCTTTCCTATTCCAATGGCACACTAGCTGTGCTAACTATCACATATTGAACTTAAATATGTTCTCCATGTTGCAATGTTTTTCTTACACCAGAAAAGAAAAAGAGAATCATTTATGTCATTAGAGGTGATTAATGTCTTCTCTTTGCTGATTAATGTGGTAACAGGTAAATATTTATCTTTGGCATTTGCTACTATGAATTTTGACTTCAGTTAGAACAATGCGATCCATCACATACAATGACTACCAAGAAAATCCGAGTTAGTTTTCATCATCAAATATTTGCCATTATGTAGGAGACAGACCTCTTCATGAACTAATGTAACCGATCAGTATGAATCTGTCTAAGCTTTCTGAAATATATTGATTTTTCCAAACATTCCGTTTTCTAAACATGACCCAGCACCTATAGGAGGTATGTCAATCAGGGTTGGATCTATACATGTTCATTGTCTGTTCTGTAAATATAAATTTAGCAGTCGAATTTACTCCACATGAACCTTTTTATGTTTGTGCATTTCAGATGTATCATATAGGAGTTTTTACATGCCATTAGATAGTAAAAAACAGTTTTCCTACTTTATTTTAGATTCAATACCTAATTTCACTTATACAATGGATCACTATTTCTTTCTTAGTCATTAGAAACTAATGTTGTACTAGTTTAAGATATGTTTCAAGGAGTAAATAATTATTAAAGATGGTAAATCAAAAGCGTAAGTCCAAAGATAATGAAACAGCAACAGGAGAAATCAAGATGAGTACATGTAAACAAGCAATTCACAAACAAACATTTTGTCAAGTTGTCCAGGTTATATGTCAGAAGGCTAACTTACCTCAATAAGTTTCACATCAACATGGTCTCCTACATTAACAACCTGAAAATAAGGTATCAAAACAATTAGTTCTTAGTGAACATGACACATAGTAGGACAAAGACTTTAGGTATACAAGATATTGTTCTTACATCTTCAGCCTTTGCCAACCAAGTTGAACTAAGCTCACTGATATGACATAGACCCTATCAAAGTTTAAAAGAGAACTTATTACACATAGCAGTAAGTAGTTCATAAAGGTAAGAGAAAAGAGAGCATCTAACATAAAAATATTGAATATGCATATTTTTCATCATAGTAGAATGACAGAAAATTAAATTCATTCTTTAAAAGTTGACATTACTTCATTTCAATTGTTTGTATTCATGAATAAAACACTTTGGCATGTTGAGAATATCAAGCACCCATATTCAATGAAGTACCAAAATATATAAAAAATGTATAAGCTTGTAGCAGAAGACAATACATCTAATAAGGTGCTAGTAAACCTGCACAAAGGCTTAAAAGTTTAAACAAACCTCCCGTCCTGGTGCAATTTCAACAAAAGCTCCATAAGGTGCTATTGACTTGATTTCACAGTTCCTGAGAAGTTCAATTAGAAGGAAAATGTGGGTGTCAGCTTTTGACCAAAAACACTAAAATGATATCATGCATAAGAAAACACAAAATCCCCTCACTGACATAACCGTAATCAACAAAATTGAAGCAATGTGCTAGACATAAATCCCTCAAATATAGTTGAAAAGTCTCTCTTAAGGAATGAAAGCCAATTCCATTCAACTCCTAATCAACTTCTAGGTTATCTGTTATAGTGACTGCATAAAATTAAATTTAATAAAACATGAATCGTTTGGATGGAAAAAGGGGACAACGGATGAAGATGGAAAATTGGTTAAAACCAAAAAATGCTACTGCTACAATGTGACAACCATGTCAAACAACTCCAGGTCTCTAGAATGGAAGATAGGCACATCTCCAGCTACTACACCAGCCACAAAAGTTTGTGCTTGCACAAACATGGGCCTACAATAGCAAGCATGGCACACAGGTGTACAATGACAAGCTGGAACTTATAGCATGCTTGGAAGGGGGCTTGCTGATTCCTAATGCAAAGCTAGAATTAGATAAATGAACCATAAAAACATAATAATCATTTTTAGGATTATTATTTCTTCTTTCAATACCCCCCAATTGATTTAGTATTACATAAATCGAGTATCATTATGCTAAGAAACATGTCACAGCTAGTGGACTTGATGAAATCTTAGAGATGCATTTTATAATGGTTAAAGATATTATAATGCACATCTTGCACTGTAAAATAAAGAAAATCTGACAAATGATAAATCCTGTGTAACTACAGAAATAAAGGGATTAGCTGCTAGCATTTCATATGTTGTGTTAGAATTAATGGCTTTAGTTTAGACAATGATGGCAAAAGAAAAATTAAAAGATCATGCTGGACAAATTTAAAAGATATATAGATTCTAAAGAAAATCCTAAAAGAGATATTAGCATGATAAGATATAAGGTTGATGATAATTTTTTTAATAAGTTAAGTTACTAAGAATTAAAAATATATATATTGAATTGCTAAGGCTAGGAAAAGAAAGTGCAAGAGTTTAGATAATATTAGATGGATTAAAGATAAAGTTCAAAAAATACAAAATTGAGAAATTATTTTATAAATTATTTAATGAATATTTCATATATAACTTAGCTTTAATGATAGATAATAATGGTATGATTCATAGATTTATTTATAAATTTAGAACTAATGATATAAAAGAAAAAAAACCTTAAAATCATCAAAATAGGTAGTAGTGTGGGACCTGATGCTATCTTTTTGAGGTTTGTAAAAGTTTAGAAGATACAACTTATTAAATAAAATTCTAAAATTTAGAAAAATACAATGAATGGACAAAGAACTTTTGTGTCAATTTTTAAAAATAAGGATATCATACAAAACTATTCTAATTACAAAAGAACTAAAATCGTGATTCATACTATGTAAATTAAAAGTAGGATAACAATTAAATTAAAAATCTTCAAAAATCAATTTGATTTTATGCTTGGAATATCAATAATAGAAACTATTTATTTATCAAGATAATAAACCAAAAATATAATAAAGATTTTACATATGATTTTTATTGATTTAAAGAAGGCCTATAATAAAGTTCCTAGGTTTCAAAAAAGAAAGATGTATCCACTAATTATATTAATGTCATAAATGAAATGTTGATAATGTAGTCGGGAGTTTGTTTAGTGAGCTTTCCATAACATAGGACTATAACAAGAATCCATATTAAGTTCTTACTTTTTTCACGTTGATTATAAATGAATTTACTTGTCGGATAGTCCTCCTTGGTATATGTTATTTAAGTAATAATATTGCATTAGTTAATGAGAGTTTGAATGAAATTAATTTTGAACTTGAATTATGGAGGCAATCCTTAGAATTTAAAGATTTCATATATGATATGTAATCTTAATAATACTAGAAATATATAACAAGATATAGTTAAGTTGGATAGATAAAAAGTTCCATTAAGTTTTAGGTATCTTATTATTCAATAATATAGAGAGACTGATGAATATAAAATGTGAGATTAGGAGACCTACAAATGTACAAATGTGTTAGGAGAAGTGATACGAGGAGAAATAGAGGAAGAATTAAAAAGACTTTAACAAAAACTATAAATAAAAATTTAAATACTCTTAATTTAACTATCTTAATAGTGACAAAACATCCATTTAGCTAACCTAATAGTTGAGACTTAACGGCTCTGTTGTTGTAGTTCATGATGTTATCATATCTTGCAAAAAAGAATGATGTTATCATAAGATCACAACATCAAATATGGATTATTAATGTCACAAGATACACATGGAAGAGTCATGAAGTAAATTCCATGACGGAATAATAATAAATAAACATAAGATAGTGTGTTTTTTAAGAAGCACCAAAGTGGCATAATCAATGTAAAACTGAGTATTAATATATGCCTAATAGAACAAATTAAATTTAAGCACGAAATGTGGTATCTTCTAACCAAGAATTTAAATATTGATCCACTAAAATGTCAGCCTGGTACAGTACAGTACCAGTGTAGTATGCCTACTGCCTGGTCTAACCAGAATAGACAATAAAAGATGTTACATGGACCAGTATCAGGCCCTGGCTGGACGTGTAAAAACCAGTTGTTATGTACCGATCAACATATCGTTACTTGCTTTCAGCTAGAACATGGTATGGATTGTTGCCATGGAAGTTAGTCCAGTCTCAAAAGTCTGTTATATCTAGGCATTTAATGTTCAAAATACCTAATATCATATAAAGCTTAAAAGACACTCCACCAATAACATCTGACCTGTAAATATCACCAACGGTTGGAACCATTGTCAAATTGGCTATTATAGCTTTTGATTTCTCTAAACTTGACAAGTCCTTTGCAGTAATTTTAATCTGCAAGATGCAGTCATATCAAGTGAATCTGCGAAAGCAGAATGAAGATTAAAGAACAAGTTCAGTCTGAATCCTTACTAGCCCATCATCTTGGGTATCAATAGCTTCAACTCCAGTCTCCTCGATGATGCTTTTAACCTTCTTCCCACCACTCCCAATAATTATATTGACTTTGTCAGGTTTAACCTGAAACATTATTTTCAATAAAGGGTATGTGACAGAGAATAAAATATGCCACATGGTTCAAAACTGAGAATAGTACCCATGTATTACCTTCATAACATGAATCAATGGAGCATACTTAGAGAGTTGCTTTGATGGAGGGGGGGAGCTCTTCATCATTTCAGCTGAATGAATACAACAAAACAAGTCCACCTTAAAGTAACTATTAAGACAAAATGCACACTTAAAATTATAGCAAGTATACAAAATGGACAAAGAAACAAAATAGCAGCCAAGCTTACTATTAGCATTCTTTGCTAAATTGTCATAATAAATTTGTCGGTCATTCTTCCACTATTTAAGTACAATATAAATAACTAGAACACTTTAGAGTTAAGAAATAGATCAATTTTCCATATGAATTACAACTAGAAACCATCATTTTGCAGATTTTTTTTTTCAATTCACACTTTTGGGAGGAAAAATTAGTTCAAATATTAAATGTTAAAATTCCTAAAGGGGATGACCCAGTGAGGAGGCTCCCACTAATAGATGACATAGAGAGGACTAACATACACAGCTTTAAACATGCAAGCAAAGAGGTTATTTTTACAATTTAAACCGTTGCCATCTAGATTCCAAAGGAGAAACCTTATTAGTGGCACCAAGATACACCCTCTAACATTTGGCTGAGATTGAGGATTATGTGAAAAGCTAGTATCTTAACTTCTTCAACAAAGCTGGCTTGCGGAACTGGACAATTCTTGTTGGTTGAAGTCAGATTTCTAAAGAAAACAATCCTTGCAAACAAAATCTAACTAAGAACTACACAAATATATGGTGTATACACACAATTTAACCTTTCTACCAGTATGGATTTCATTAGCCAGGGTACAATATTGACAAATTACAACTAGTCTCATGCTAAGGGATCCTATTATCCACGAGGGAGTCATAGTAGTAGTTTCAAACTTCTACTGATCAACAGCCAGCATGGTGATTCATACAACCAACAACCTTTCTCTTCTATTTGGTGGAGCATCATGTCAGACCAATACTGTATGGTTACATACTCCCTACTCAAACAGGTAGGAAGCTATCATGGATATTGTTCATCTGATCAACATGCCACAATTTCTACCAATATCATAAGACATACAAACAATATATGTTTCTAGGTTATGTAATGAGAAATAAGGCATGCATCAAGTTTTATGTTGGTAATTTGTTATTACCAAATTTTGTAATCTTAATCCCATGTAAATTTGAACTTGTATATATGATATTTTGATATATGCCGTGATCAACATTTTATATATGCTAACTTTATGGATTCTAAAAGTTTTACTCATGTTTTTCCATGATATGACAAATAATATGTCACACAAAGATATAAAAATAAAATAAAATAAAATATGAAGTAAACTATGCATAAAAGAGGAAGGATCAATCAAATATTGAAAACAACTGATCCGATTGGTATTAACCATCACCAACATGTATGTCACACATGGTACGGGTGGGCATCAGTATCGTACTGTCACGGACTTAGCTGGTTTTGCCTAAGTCGTGCGGCACCTTTGCGTGTCCGTCCGCAAAGGTCAGCCTCCCCGAAGCCTCTCATTGTCCCTTAGGACCAACAAAAGAGAGAACGGGTTAGAGAGAACGCCTCAATCGAGATCCACAAGCAAACATCTCCGAAAAACACTTCATAGACAATACAAATTACAAACAGACTTTACAAGCTCTGAACAATTGCACAACAAAGGGTAAAATGGTCCATTACAGACCGAAAATCTCTCGCACGTGTCCACATGACACAACCTTTATTTACAAGCCTAAAGAGGCCACCAACCCAACTAAAATGGGACTATTAAGCCTTCGACCGCCCCTCTACATGCTGTATAAGGCATGAATATGCCAAAAGACACGGACATACATAAGCATTACATCAAACATCTTGTTTAGAAGTTTGTCTGTGACATTCTCCCCCACTTATTCCTTCGACGTCCTCGTTGAAGCCTTTGTCGACACTGCAACTCCTCGCCTTTGCTGAGTCTTCAATCTTCTGCTCCAGCTATAATGCGCCTCTTGGCTCCTAGCTGCTCTCCGCTACTGTTTTTTTTTTCTTTTTTTGAGTAGTCAAACCTTTGATCCGCCATGCTGCTTCAACTCACCAATGACTCTAACTCTGGTGTGGGGTTGGCTGAGTTGTGTTGATCCTTGTTAATTCCTGCGGATCCTCCAAATGAAGGAAAAGACCATCCTTACTGCGCCAGTCTCTCAAATTCCTCATGCTGCTTGAATTGGGTGGATGCTTGTTGAAGCTTTAATGAGCATCGTCTCGCAAACTTCTGAAGTTTTGAGTCCTTCCTCCACAAAATTTGCTCATTGACTCTTCTTTCACTTAGTTGTCACATCCAAGT